GGGGGGGGGGGGAGGAAAAAGATGAAGGAAAAGATGACCTCAGGGATAAGTGGGAAAGTTCTGGATAAAGAAAGCAATGTGAGGATGAGCAAAGGTGACAAGAGTAAAAATGAGGATCCAGAGAGACAGGACTGAGAGTGAGAGATTAGGAGTAGAGTAGAAGAGGAGAGCTTTGGGGCAGATGTCTACATGTTTATCAGGTACTTAAATGAGATTCTTTATGGTGAAAGAAAGGAGGGACAAGATTAGAGGACTGTGAATGGCAGGGAAGGGATGAAGAGGCATTAGGAGAGTGGAAAAGAAAGATTTGAACTGTTTGGGCAAAAATGCACAAGAGTAGAGGAAGAGAATCAGCAAGACCAAAGAAAGAACTAAAAGGGCCGAGAAAATGCTTGTCTCCCTTTGGCATGCATTAGAAATTAGCCAAAGCTGTGAAGTGTAGATATAAGTCTTAAAGTTAATTGAGAGACAAACAGTCACTAGCCATGATGATTTGGATCTACTATTTGGTCCTAGAGTTCCAAACTTGAATCCCATCTCTTGAATAAGCAAACAGAGGTCGTCAGATATAACAGTGATAAATGCTGTATACAATTCTAGTAGGGCTGAAGTGCTGTTGTTGCCCAAACCTTGTCTAACATCTCTCCCAACTATACAGTTGGCCTAATAAAAGATAGCATCAAAAAAAAATTCCTTCTTATATACATCTATAGACAGATATGAAAGAAGTTGAAGAAAAAGAGATTTTTTTATAATCAGTCTAAGAACAGAAATCATACCTTTTACTGGGGACCATAAAAAAGATGACACTTTGAATGTTTATTTAACTGGCTAGCTTTCTGAAAGATAAGTATAAATTTATCCTACAAAACCTCACAGGAAAAATATGAAAGATTCATATATGTTTTAGTCTAACATACAGTACATTAATAGTCAATTAACTAATTGAGTGAATTCATTTTAATACATTTTAATGTGAATGGATTGGCATGAAGATAAATATCACTGGGTTGGCAATGTAGTTATAAAGATGTTTTCTTACATTACTATCATCTTGTTATTGATTTGAGAGAGAAAATGAGAGAGGGGGGCCTAATTGGTTCTGCAGTCCTCACAGTAAACAAATGAAATAGTTTACATTGTAAGGGTTGTCTCCAATATATCCATTTTCTATAAATAATTCAAACATCAGCAATTTTTGGCACAGGTTGTATGTGTTGTGAATACTGCAGCATGAAAATAATTAATTGGAATAGCAAACTATTTAAGTTTTCCATTGCTCTGAGGACTGAGCAAAATACTGAGCAAAAACAAAGGTCAAGATTTCCCCAACTGTGGCATGCTATTTTAACCACATAGCTCGTAAAGTATCTCTCTAGTCAAAATAACCTAAACCAATTTCATGAATCAAGCAAGAAATAAGGTGTTTTATCTTAGGTTTGGAATGTGCATATATTGCTTTTTCTTTGAAAATGGAAGTTTTCTTCCATCAACTACATTTTGATCTTCATACATTCCTAAATTCACTTTCTTCCTAAAGTAAAGGCATTCTGGCACCACTGATGTCAACTGGAGTTCTGCCATTGACATTATGGGGATGCAGATTTATCTCAGAGTCTTTAATCCTGTATTAAAGTCAGACCAGGAAAAAGCTCCAAAGACGCATCTGTGTGCCTTTCAGCTGTGAATCTAAAGCCCTAGAGTACAAGAATAAGTTTGCCACACTCACCAGTATATTTTTCTCTTAACTTCAGGAGAGGGGTGTATTCTGCAGTCCTCATTATAGCCACAGGTGAATAATGACAGATAGATCTCTATCAGGGGTGGTTCCTGCCATTTAAAAATTCTGTTTCAGGCTCATTTTTTAAGCTTCTTGTTCCCTTTTCCCAGCATTACAGTGAAGGAGTTCCCATCTTGAAGAAGGTGGAAAAAGAAAGAGTATTATAAAGAAATGTCATGACATTGTTTTAACCTACTACTGTGGTGGAACAGCTAGCTGCTTACATGCTACTAAGTGAAACGTGTACAATTTTGTATATTTTCTTTAAAAATATGACAGGATAAATTCATTTACATACAATGAGAAATACCTTATGGATAGTTCTGTGTGCCCTGCAGAAGGTAGGAATTCCTAAATTAATCCAAAATCATTCTTATGTTGGAGAGAGATGTCAAAATCTCATTATATCCAACATAAACTTTTCCAAATTGTATGGCCTGCCAGGAAAGGAATGCCCAATAAAACTACTCATTAATAGGCCAAAAGCAAGAGGAAACACCGCCAAGGAACAGCTTTATCTAATAATACAATGACATATGCATTATTTTGCAAGATAGTGACTACATTTAGTTGGCATATTGATTAGAATTACAGTACTCCAGCAACGCCATATACCATATGTAGGAAATATAAAGGTGTGCGGTAGTGCTTCTGAGAG